ANANANATATATATAATATATATATATATATATATATATATATATATATATATATATATATATATATATATATATGTTCATATTATCATTTTATATATATGTATATATATGTATATATGTATATATTTTATATACATTTTATATATATTTTATATATACATTTTATCATTTTATATATATGATATATATATTCATATTATCATTTTACCATTTCAGTCAGTGAACTTTTATCAAATAAAGCTAAAGATTTTTGAAACTTCTGAAATTCACATCAATTATTAAAAAGTGAAGGCTTTGTTTTCCTTTTAACTTCACTGGTTTTCCCATTTTTTAGATTATATTCTTTACACAGTTGTTATTTATTAAAGTTGTCATCTACTCCTTAATTTTAGTTTCATTTAATTCATGTTTTTTGTTTTCCTTGTTTTTTGTTCGTGCAATCTCACAATGATTATAGAATTTTTGATATAGCACCGTACTACTTCACTACTTTGCATCATTTTAAGAGAAATAAATGTCGAAATTTTACTACTGAGTTCATAAAAGCATTATTTTCTTTTATGCAATATATCCAAGTTATTTGCAGGAAACTTTGATTTCGCTTGTGCAAGCAACAAGCAGTGTTTTTTTAAGCTACTGGTTATCTTTGTGTAAAGATATTTTGGCATCGTCCATGGGTGCTGATATGCGAAGCATCATACAAGTTGAAGAGAAAGGCCTCGGTAACACCAAGGATGAGGAAGATGAGCATGAGGTTGAATGTTGATTTTTATTGGAAGTTCTTCTAGATTTCCAAAAACTTTTTGACGTGCTATGTATTCTGTCTTGCACTTTCCATTTAAAACAAATGTGTTTATTGTTGAAGCTCCTATTTGAAAATTGCTGCTTTACATCATTTTAAGGCAAATCGTTCGAAAGTTTTAGAGATAAACTTTATGTTTACGTATCTCCAGAACATCGATGACGACGTAACGCTGCAATCAGTAACTGTTGTGAGCCGGGAGGAGAGAATGAAAGTGATGCCACGCTGGCCGAGTCGCGTATTTGCTACGGAACTTGTGCAAAAGGTGATGTCTGTCTGCGAGACTGAACGAGCACATTTTGACCTTGCTCTTGCTAAAGAACTCCAGGTAGGTTTAATAAACAATATAGATTAAAAATTATGTTTGGATCGAGAAATTCGGATAACTATATAGCGGTAATATTTCACTGACTGTAGAATATAGAATGTGCTTTTCAAAGCTAATCTGTACTTTTGATAAATGGATATCACTGAAAATTTTTGTTGCAGAGATTTTTGCGAAACAAATTAGGTAAACATTTACTACAAGATTAAAAGTCATAAATAGATCTTTCACATATTTCGTTTTCAGTTTTTTTTCCTTTTTTCTTTTTTATTTTTTCTGTAATTTCAATGATTTTTTCTGCATAAAAGAATTTGTGGAAAGGTGCAAACTGTGTTATAACAGGAAATTTATAGATTTCTTCTGGTGGTCGAGCAGATTACTTGGTTCTTCATTTGTCCGATTTAATACGGATGTCATTTATGGGGGCAACTAGTGATAACACCAATTTGCGTCTTGCTGGGTTGGCTTGCTTGCAAGATGTAATCACTCGGTTCTCATCAGTTCCAGAACCTGAATTTCCCGGTCATGTCATTCTTGAGCAATTTCAAGCACAGGTCTAGATATTTTAGCATTCATTGTATCACATATCTAGTTCTTTTTTTAATCATCTTGGTGGGATCATTTTTCAAGGGATAAAGCTTAGTGGATTGTGATCACTTTCCCGGTGATCCGGCTTGCGTGATTTTGTTCTTGAATCAGATTTTCTTATAAAATAAGTTGTAAAAAAATTGTTGTAAAGTCTACTATATCTAATGAGTTTAACAAGTAGAGCGATGTGATTTTTTACGTTGAACCACTTTTTTTGCATAAAAATTGTAAATCTTCACCAGATTGTTCTTATAAAATTTTTAGTTTTTTGTCCAAAAATTACTCCATATCTCAGATTCACTATTATACATTATTATAGGTAGGTGCAGCTTTGCGACCAGCATTTACAGCTGATACTCCTAGTGATGTTACTGCTGCTGCCTGTCAAGTATGCAGCACTTGGATCGGCAGTGGTGTTGCTCAGGATTTAAATGATTTGCGGCGGGTGCATCAAGTAGTGATATAATATTTATTATTTCTGGGCCGTTTTTCATATAAAAATTATAAAGCAATATTTAATGTTTAAGTTATTAACAGTATAATATTTCTGCTAGTTTAGTTTTTTTTTTCCTCTCTAGAAATTGCGTTAAAATTTCGGTAGATCAATTTCTGGAAAATCCATAGTTCCGAACGCTGTTGATTATCTTCCGTAAGTTTCGTTTAAATAAATAATGACACGCAAATCATATATGCCATGTCTACATTGTAACGCTGTTATCATAAAAACAATTTTCGATGACTGACAGATTTTTTGCCCTGAAATTTAGTCCTTTTTAGCTTCTGGTTTCATCCCTTGGGAAACTGACCCATGGTTCAATCAATACACAGCTTTATAGCGAAAGTGCCGCAACTTTAGAAAAGCTGGCAATTCTAAAAGCTTGGGCAGAAGTTTACATTGTTGCTGTTGAACAGAAAAAACAGAAAAAAGTTATGGACTCTACTGCAGTGAAAAGTAAGTTCTACGCTTTCGCTTACTTTTCTTGTATCAACCGCTCACGTTTCATGTGTGAACAGTGCTTATTTTTGGTGTATGCAAGAAAAAAGTGAGTTATAAGCGGACTACAAATATCTTACCTAATTATGATATTCCACAAGAGCCACAAATTTTTATAGAAAGAATTGCTTTTACTTATTTAGACTTGACTTTATTAATTTACTGGGTAACGGTTCTCTGAGCATGCTTTAAAAAGTGCTTAATTGTCAATTTTGAATTTCTGAACAAGGAAATTTGAAAACAATAAAAAATATTCATCTCTATGTTAAAAAATTGTTTTTGCAGATGAAGGGAAATGCAGCTATTTGCAAGAAAGTTTGCTGAGCTTGGTTTCTCCTGAGCTCAACTCGCTGATTAATTGCTGGTTAGCAGCCTTACGTGATTCTGCTCTTCTTTCACTTCCACCTGAATTCAAGCCCCAATTACCACGTGAAGGTGGAACGTATTATACTGCTGAATGTGCAGATGTGAGTTTTATAGCTGATAATAAATTTAAGATCGATACATTAGAATATTTCTTCGTCACTGACAGTGCACATCATTATTTTTCAAAAGCGTTTCTCACTTTCATTATTCTGATTGTTTGAACATGAAATTTTGCAGTTTTGCAAGGAATATTATCGAGTCAGTTGGCCTCCAATATTGCTGGCTGCCTGCACATGGTTGAGGCAAAATGATTTCGAACTTCAACTGAATTCCGATGATTTAGAGGTTAATTTTCAGCAAATAAACACTGTGGTATCTTTTCTGTCAATTAGTCTTGTATTTTTATATTCTTATCTTAAACTTTGCAGAGTAGCACGTCAGATAAGGCGAGGGAAACTCATTTCCACATAATGCTGGGAATATGCATTGAAACTCTTTGTTCAAATCGTACACATTCTGTGGAAGATTTGACCGTTCAGGTAAGTTGAATCAGTTATGAAAAAACTCTACCACTTCTGTTTTTTATTTGCGGTTGATTAACAATATTATGAAATTTTCAGCTTTGTCTGAGATCACTGAGGAATCTTTTGGCCTGCAATTGGTCACGAAAAGTTCTGATGAGGAATGTTCAATTACCAATAGAAGTGGTAAATGTGCTTTACAGGTAAGTTATTTTGCAACTTACTTTTCATATCTTGCTAAAAATTTCGGATGCTATGTATCATCCCCGTAGTAGTGAGCGGACTAGGAAATTTGCTTTATTATGGGCTGATGTGTTTTCTTAAAATTACTGTTTTTTGTGTTTCTTGGGTTGGTCATACGTGTGAGACTATGATTTACAGGCTTATTTTAACCCGGGAAAATTTACGGACTCAGCAGCTTTGTGCAGACGTAGTAATGACAGTTCTTGATGCTGCGCAGTATTCGATAGATCTTCGTGATAACGACAAAGGTTGGAAGTTTTTGCAGAATCTTGCGGGTATTATTTAAAAGGCTTTATCAACTTTTACTGATGAATTTTTGACTTTCAATCTTTTAGATATTGAAAATGACATTTTGGAACAGCAGAAAAATACTACTAAGGAGCGTTACAAAGGAGCGGAAGGAACGATTAATGGTCTACAACCTGTCAATTCTTTGGCATTTGCTGTTCTAGAAATCACTCTCTGCATTTTGGTTAGGCAGGCAAGTTTTTGAACTCCATTTTCCAGGATTCTTCGTGATTTTGAATTTAGCTCTTTTTTTCAAGTCGATCCAATAATTCCGAAATATTAAAACACTCAGTCTGTTGCAGATTCCTCAAATTAACTCAGCATTAATGAAAAGTAAATCAACAACCCCACTTCATTATCGGCGGTATTCTCGCCTTCCCATTGAATCGAACAATCTTATAAAAGTAAATTTTTTTAACATAAAGTCTGTCTGCTGTGCGACTTTTTCCAAAATTGCAAGCAAACTGCTATCTGTAGTTTTAATTTTTAGTCGTCTTTCTCACTGAAACTTAGGCGATCATTTTTCTAACTTTTCAAGTTTGAGAATTTCTCCTCTTCCCTTTTTTTTTGACAACTCTGTTTCTGTTATGGATAACTTCAGTGCATTCGAGTGATGTTTAATTCACGAAATTATTATTTTACAGATGGGTCTCAATATTCTTACCCGTATTCCAGTGCTTTGCTCACCTGATGGTGTTGTTGTGGTTCTTCCAAGTATTCTATGCCTGATTTTAGGAGTTTTGCATGAATCTTCTCTCATTGACAAGGTTTCTTTACAGAAGTGTAATTCCTTCCCGAATTATTGTTTAATTTTACGCAAACAATCCACAGCACTTGATGTTGGTCTAACTTTTACTTTCTTTATTTTTACAATGAACTGCTGTATAATAAAATAACTGTTGTAGGAGCAGTTAGTTCCTAATGTTCCATTTGGACATGTATCTATTGCTGCAGCTACAGCCATGCAGGTATATCTTTTACTGTTACCGAAAGCCATTAATTCTAATTTCACCGTTTAAGGTGCTGCTTAATATTTTCAATGTCTTTTCCCTTCTGCGAAATCTTTTTAGTTATTGCCTCTGGTCGTTATTTAGTAAATGTTTTTCTAGGTATGCTTATTTAGGTATTGAAAGCTTTACTAATTACGGCTCCAAATGATTCATCATTTTCGAAATGGATGTCAGTAATGAAAAGTGCCTTAATTTCACTACTTAATATGGCCGAAGGTATGTTTCTAAGGAAATTATGCTATCGAAATGTGCACCTACTGATGTATTAGTCCTTGTCATCTTTAACACACGTTTTCAGATTAGTGTTCTAATTAGATTCTAAATACTCTTTTTATTCTTAATATTTGCCTTCGGAGGATACATCCCATTTCGTTTTAATATAAAATTAAAATATGCTTGCAGATTGTTATAAAATGAATAATTAGAGCATGTAGTCTTTTTTTTGCAGACTCAAAAGTTGATGGTGCAGTGATAATGTTGGCAGTTGCAGTATTCGTCACTTCATCACCACCTCAATTAGTTACGGGCAACACCAGTCTTCTGAGAAGAATATGCAAGTTATTCCAAACATATTTGGAAAGTGAACATAAGCAGGTGAATGGGATATTTTTTCCTTTACATTTTCTTGCGGAAGACACGTTTTGCACCGGAAAGTTTAGCTCGCAGTATATTTAAATCTTTAAACTGCGCTGAGAAAGTTTGATGGTATCTAGATTGAGATAGCTAATTCATTAAATTTAAATTAAAACCTTCGAAACCACGGATTTAAGGTAGTGGTTAAGTGCATGCAGAGTCTGACTTCCATTTTTGGCCGACGCGAAATATGTTATCCATTTGTCGCAGAACTTGTTCCTAAAATACTGAATAGAATTCGACCCTTTGTGACAAGTGTTTCGCAGGGAGTTGCAGAAATTCCGGAATCTGAAGACGTGATCATTGTCCAAGAAGCAATACGCATTTTAGAGGTTGCTCTTTCGGTCGCTGATCAAAAGAAACGTTGGTTTTTAACTGTTGCAGTCTGTGCTTATTAGGCATATGAGATAAAGAGATGCACTGAACATTCCGAAAGTATGGAATATGTTGCTTTGTAGTTCAAACCTTTGCTTATTTATGTTGCAAGTTAATGGAAGTTAAATTTTGTTTATCGGGCAAATCAGACTAGTGCAATCTCAGGAAAAATCATCTTCTGCACCATTAATTTCAAAGCTATCCTTCAAATGCATTTGAGTTTTCAGAACTGGCAATTATAAATCTTATTGTCCAGTTGTTGGGTGTGTTTTTATGTGATAATCCAATTACGTGCTATCGACAGCTGCCACCATCTGCACGTAAACTGCATGATTATGCACTTAATAGGTTAAATATAGTAGGTCCTTCTCATCCAGAACAATTCAAGGAAATATTATTATCCTTCCCAGCGCTCAAATCAAAGTACGTTTTTTCAAAACCTCTTTCATGTTTTCAGACCACGTTCCTTTATGCTCAGTCGAGTCTTTTTGTTGAGTCCCGAAATTTCATCGAAATTTGCATCTTAAATTGTTTCTTCAGTTTCTAGGAAATTGACATTTCAATTCTCTCCTGTCTCCATTTTTCAGCGATATAGATTTATTTGGAATGTAATATTGTTTTGCTTAATATTACTATTTAATAACAAAAAAGATGTATACATGTATATATTACGCGGTGAATTGATGAGCAATGATGAGTTTATACAATAAG